TATTGGAACATTTGAAGTCTTTAGCCTCATGGTGAAGGCCTTAGACGTTTTGTTGAGTAATTAGTCTCTTATGCATTTTTGAATCGGGTATTGCTGCTGAATCTTTGAAAAATCTTTATAAATTGTGTATCCGTCCGGTTGCTGCAAAATTTGGACTGTATAACCCTCTGTTAGTATAATATGTGGTGTAAAAATTTGAAGTTGAAATAAGGTCTGTAGCTATATAAAATGTCAATTTGAAATTCTGGGCTGAAACTTCGAAAAATCATTTAAAATTGAATTCTTGGTATTTTGCTGTGATTTTTGGTGAGTGTTACTAATTTGATGTTCTATGCGTTGTGTCCAAATTTAGTTGAAAAATTCAAAGGATCGCTCGGAGAACTAGAAAATTCAGATTTGCATCGCCTTTTTGTAAAAATTGGTTGCTTAGGTTAAACTTAAGTAGTGAGACAGAAACTTAGTGAAAACGTGCCTTTATGGTTTATTTTTATGTGTAAAAATTTTAAGTCAAACGGTCGAGTGCATTTTAAAAACTGTCGGGTTCATTTGTTTCACTGCCGGTCTGTCGGGTCGTGCATTGCTGCCAGCGCCCGTGCGCGCCCGGATGCGCCCAGCCATGCCCCGCCGGGTCAGCAAGCAGCCCGGGGCCTGTCCCGAGCCTTCTTTACATTTTTCCCAGACCCTTGTGTGTGTTTTTGCCCCGTTTGACTTTGTTTTGCGTGACAAGTCCATGTGTGGTGTTTAAATGCATTTTTTGTCAAGTTAAGTGTTAAGTCCAAGTGTTCCAATGTCCATGGAACTTCACGAACTACTTGGTTGAATCAAGTTCGATCAATGTATGCTTGTGATTGTTCTCTAAGGTCAAATAGGTGTTGATCTTAGTATATTAATTGTTGTAGGTGTTTGACGAGCTGTGCTCGCTGCCTACTCCTGATTGTGTGCCACTTTCCTTTGCGGTACCAGGTGGGTTCTAATCTAAAATTGTCTATGCCATGAATGATGAATGTTTATTCTTATGGGTATGATCTATGTATGAATATGAAATATGT